ACTGAGGGTTGCGATCCGTTGCCGGACACGGAAAAAGACAAAAAAAAAAAAAAAAGAAAGTTTGCTGTTCTTGAATATAGGAGCTTGATAATATTTTTAAGAGCTGTAGGGAACAACTTTCATAAATGGTTAACTTGAAGCAAACATATGGGACACCATTACAGCCTGTATGATAATATTAAGCTTTTGAATAAAGAGGAAAGATTTTCTTTAGAAGAGATTGGCTTGTGTAGTGGATACGTTCTATGATTGGTCTTCAGTGCCCTCTGTTGGCTATTTAGTCTAAAGCAACATCTTGATTTTTCAACACAATGTTCCTTGCAGTGTTGTTTACCAAAAGAAGTATTCGAGATTTTAAAATTGTGATAAAAGGTCATAAAAACCAATGGAGATTTTAAAAATAGACTTGGGGGGGCCGAGAGGTTGAGTAGGGGTCTTGAGAAATATATTTGTAACATTTTGTTTGATATAACATGTTTATGATATTATGGACTGTATTTTCAGAAACTGGACCTTTCTGATGAGAAGCAGCCTGAGTCAGGCTGGCTATTGAGCATTTTTTATGCAGCAAAGCATCAAGAATAGCTGCTGCCCTGGTAGTAGTAGCAGCAGCTGTTTTTCCATAGGGCTACTTGTGATGGCCATCAAAGGAAATGACTGTTACTCATTAAAGTGACTTCACTCAGCTATGTGGGAAATCATATCGTCAGAGAAGTCATCACAGAAAATCGAGTAGCGATTATACATAGTGGGGCATCTCTAGAGGTGGGTGGTTTTGTTTTTTGTTTTTTTTCCCTTCAAGTGACAAAGAAACTGCCTCTGGGTTCTCTCCTTCAGGAAAAGGGACGGTAGATTAGATTTAGAGTTTAGAAGAACTAGAGGTCTAAACCTGTGTAGATTTTAGTAAGCAAGCACACCTGGCACTAGTTTGAGGTCTAAAGACTGTACTTTGTGTAAGTGCTCACAATGACTTTTCTACAATAAGAGAAATCTTGATTTTTCTAGGAAAGAACTGTATTTCCCTTATTTCTTGGTAAATCTTCCTTTGAAATGTTTCTAGTTATAATTTCAACTGGTTGCATTTTGAAAACCTGTTCACCTATTAGGGTTAAAAATAATACTTTTTGATTTGGCGTTATATGAAGCTACAGAGATTGCTCACAACCAACTTAGTGAAATCATTTATTTGCTTTTGGTAAATTTTGCTGTTGTAGTTTTCTCTAAGAAGGGTTAGTAATTATTAATATGAAGTAATGCTAGCAGCTTTCTGTGTGTTTCATGAGAGGAATAAGATACTATGTAGTTTCCCTTCCCCCCAATAAAAAAGCCTTTCATCAAAAACTGACAACCTAAATGAAGGACATAATTGTACAGCTTATTTATTAGTGTGTCAAACTTAAAATGTAATGGTTTCATATTTCAGAATGAAAAGTGTGTTGTGATTCATGGTTGCCAGTGACAAAATAGACAGCTCTTTTATGTTACTGAACTGATTGCCTGCTGATATCCCACTGTATATTTTGGTTCTCTTCTGTTCTCTTCCTGTGCAATAGCTCCCTCTACTTGAAAACATTGGTGCAATTATAGTTTAAAACTATGGACTTTATTAGTGAGTTCCCTTGATTGTTTTATCCTTTTTATTCTCTTCATAAATATGTGGTGTTATACATCAGAGCATGTAAGGAAATTATCAAGAGTCCCTTGACTTGGAGGTAGAAAGGCAAGGTTAGTTGAAGAAAGCAAGATGTTATGTCTGAAGGCGTTTTTCAAGGCATTAGCTGTATAGCCTTTGTTGATTTAAATATGGCATATTTGGTTAGGATTTCATGCAGTACTTTGAAAATGAACCCTGATGTCTGAAACACAGAGGTATAGAAACGGGATCAGAAAACTTCAGAAGAACCATCAGTCGCTTCAAACAGACATAGCCTGGAGCTTGGCAAATCCTTACTTTGCTAATTCCAAAGTTTTGTAATTCTAACACAAAACCTGGCAGTTCTCTGCTTTCTCAGGAAGGGTTTAATGAAATTAGCTGTAGTAGAATTTCATGTTACTAAATTTTTGTCTTTGTGGAATAGTATGTGCATAATGAAACAATAGGAGCAAGGTAAACAAACCAAAGCAAATGCTGCTGTGATTGGGATTTAATTATTTTGCTAAGTTTGAGGTGTAGTAATAGAACCATGTCTTTGTTTCCAGTTTCTTCTGACCGATATTATGATTGCAGCAAGCAGCCTCGCATGGTTTATGATATTATGGACTGTATTTTCAGAAACTGGACCTTTCTGATGAGAAGCAGCCTGAGTCAGGCTGGCTATTGAGTATTTTTTATGCAGCAAAGCATCAAGAATAGCTGCTGCCCTGGTAGTAGTAGCAGCAGCTGTTTTTCCATAGGGCTACATGTGATGGCCATCAAAGGAAATGACTGTTACTCATTAAAGTGACTTCACTCAGCTATGTGGGAAATCATATCGTCAGAGAAGTCATCACAGAAAATCGAGTAGCGATTATACATAGTGAATAGATGGGTTTGTCTTTGATTCATAGTATGACTGTGCTTGAGAATGTTAGAGAATCTTGCCCAACTGTTCCCAGACCTCCTGTGGTCCAACAAAATGTCAGTCACCGAAAGTTTAAAAAATAAATTTACATGTATTGAGCACTCAGAATGCAATTGAAATCATTAGTATTGTATCTTCACCTTGATACAAGCTGATATTTATGTGGATGTATAGAGTAATATTTTAATTTATTTTGAAATTGGAAGACTTTCACCTAGTCTTTGGAAGACTATCACCAAACATGGTGGACACATGAAGTAAACAGTCAAATGAAATTTGTGAGTAAATATAAACTGTCTTAAGCATGCATATTTGTTTTCAGAGAGCTGACTCATATTTCTTCTTTGCTTAATTCGTAGGACCCTTTAGATCCTACAAGATCAGTGATTGTAATCCGCTCCCTGGTAGCAGATGGTGTAGCTGAAAGAAGTGGAGAGCTATTACCTGGAGACCGCCTGGTCTCAGTCAATGAACACTGTTTGGACAACACCACACTTGCTGAAGCTGTGGAAGTGTTGAAAGCTGTGCCGCCAGGCACCGTATGCCTTGGCATCTGTAAGCCTTTGGTGGTAAGTGTTNTGTATTTTCAGAAACTGGACCTTTCTGATGAGAAGCAGCCTGAGTCAGGCTGGCTATTGAGTATTTTTTATGCAGCAAAGCATCAAGAATAGCTGCTGCCCTGGTAGTAGTAGCAGCAGCTGTTTTTCCATAGGGCTACATGTGATGGCCATCAAAGGAAATGACTGTTACTCATTAAAGTGACTTCACTCAGCTATGTGGGAAATCATATCGTCAGAGAAGTCATCACAGAAAATCAAGTAGCGATTATACATAGTGGGGCATCTCTAGAGGTGGGTGGTTTTGTTTTGTTTTTTTTTTCCCTTCAAGTGACAAAGAAACTGCCTCTGGGTTCTCTCCTTCAGGAAAAGGGACAGTAGATTAGATTTAGAGTTTAGAAGAACTAGAGGTCTAAACCTGTGTAGATTTTAGTAAGCAAGCACACCTGGCACTAGTTTGAGGTCTAAAGACTGTACTTTGTGTAAGTGCTCACAATGACTTTTCTACAATAAGAGAAATCTTGATTTTTCTAGGAAAGAACTGTATTTCCCTTATTTCTTGGTAAATCTTCCTTTGAAATGTTTCTAGTTATAATTTCAACTGGTTGCATTTTGAAAACCTGTTCACCTATTAGGGTTAAAAATAATACTTTTTGATTTGGCGTTATATGAAGCTACAGAGATTGCTCACAACCAACTTAGTGAAATCATTTATTTGCTTTTGGTAAATTTTGCTGTTGTAGTTTTCTCTAAGAAGGGTTAGTAATTATTAATATGAAGTAATGCTAGCAGCTTTCTGTGTGTTTCATGAGAGGAATAAGATACTATGTAGTTTCCCTTCCCCCCAATAAAAAAGCCTTTCATCAAAAACTGACAACCTAAATGAAGGACATAATTGTACAGCTTATTTATTAGTGTGTCAAACTTAAAATGTAATGGTTTCATATTTCAGAATGAAAAGTGTGTTGTGATTCATGGTTGCCAGTGACAAAATAGACAGCTCTTTTATGTTACTGAACTGATTGCCTGCTGATATCCCACTGTATATTTTGGTTCTCTTCTGTTCTCTTCCTGTGCAATAGCTCCCTCTACTTGAAAACATTGGTGCAATTATAGTTTAAAACTATGGACTTTATTAGTGAGTTCCCTTGATTGTTTTATCCTTTTTATTCTCTTCATAAATATGTGGTGTTATACATCAGAGCATGTAAGGAAATTATCAAGAGTCCCTTGACTTGGAGGTAGAAAGGCAAGGTTAGTTGAAGAAAGCAAGATGTTATGTCTGAAGGCGTTTTTCAAGGCATTAGCTGTATAGCCTTTGTTGATTTAAATATGGCATATTTGGTTAGGATTTCATGCAGTACTTTGAAAATGAACACTGATGTCTGAAACACAGAGGTATAGAAACGGGATCAGAAAACTTCAGAAGAACCATCAGTCGCTTCAAACAGACATAGCCTGGAGCTTGGCAAATCCTTACTTTGCTAATTCCAAAGTTTTGTAATTCTAACACAAAACCTGGCAGTTCTCTGCTTTCTCAGGAAGGGTTTAATGAAATTAGCTGTAGTAGAATTTCATGTTACTAAATTTTTGTCTTTGTGGAATAGTATGTGCATAATGAAACAATAGGAGCAAGGTAAACAAAACAAAGCAAATGCTGCTGTGATTGGGATTTAATTATTTTGCTAAGTTTGAGGTGTAGTAATAGAACCATGTCTTTGTTTCCAGTTTCTTCTGACCGATATTATGATTGCAGCAAGCAGCCTCGCATGGTGGTCCATAGAAAGGACATGAGAGCCAGAATGCCTGGTTGAATCCTGGCCCTGCCACTTACCAGCTTGGTGATATTGGCTAGTTTTTTTTTTTTTTTTTTACCCTTCTGAGCCTCAGTTTTCTTTTCTATAAAATATAGGCAATAAATACACCTATATTCCTGGAGTTCCAAGAATTAGATGAATCAATGATTGTCAAGCTCGACACATAATCAGTGCTGTGTATCAGATCGTTGAATAAAATGACAGTAGTGGGAGTTATAAATTGGTTTTTATTAACCAAATGTATTTATTGAATGTCAAAGTAATCTTCAGTGCTTAATGAAAGGAAATATGGGGCCCTCCCGATGGATGAGAGACTTGCACTTGGCTTGTTCATGAATTCATATTCATTTTCTATGTATTGGAATAGTTCTGACCTAGAGGCACCTATACCGTGTCATAATTTTAGGTTATATTATTTTTAAATATGCTTTTTTAACGCAGTGGATTATTCCATGGTTTGCATGTCTTTGCTGAGCTCAAGTGGTTTTGTAGGAGGATTCTGTACTGGTGAATGCATAAGAATGGGGTATCACTTCCCCTAGTATGCTTCTCTTGGAGCGTACTTGTGGCCCAAGAGAAGAAATAGATGGGTTTGTCTTTGATTCATAGTATGACTGTGCTTGAGAATGTTAGAGAATCTTGCCCAACTGTTCCCAGACCTCCTGTGGTCCAACAAAATGTCAGTCACCGAAAGTTTAAAAAATAAATTTACATGTATTGAGCACTCAGAATGCAATTGAAATCATTAGTATTGTATCTTCACCTTGATACAAGCTGATATTTATGTGGATGTATAGAGTAATATTTTAATTTATTTTGAAATTGGAAGACTTTCACCTAGTCTTTGGAAGA